AGGAAGCGAGCCCAAGGTTGAGTGGGCATACCTGGTTTTGAAAGCCTTCTTTTGGGTGGGAACTCTCTGCAGAGTTCCAAGAAGGTGCAGGGTATCACATGGTGACAGGGCAAGTGTGTATTAATGTGCTCACTTGCTCTCCTTATAAAGCCACCAGTGCCCCTCCCAGGATAACCCCTTCATTTGTTAACCCATTAATCCATTAATCATGAATGTATTAATACATTCATGAGGACAGAGCAATCCAATCACCTTCCAACAGCCCCACTATCAACACTGCTACACTGGGGACCAAGCTTCCACATGAGCTTTGGAGGGGACAAAATTCAGACCATAGCATGTACCCATGTATCACTTATTCAATATTTATATTTAAATCAATTTACTATTTTCCTCTTCAAATGTATTCATTCAGGAAGAAAATTCTATATCTGAGAAGTATTATTTTATCTCTTCCCTTAATTCAGTTTGAAAATTTAAGATGAAGATTAACATTAAAAAATACTGGTTCACATACCACCTAAAATCATCATGGACCACCAGGAGTACCCCAATCATAAGGACCACTCTTTAGGAAATACACTTCCCTTCAAACTGAGTTGTAATCCATGAGTAGACCATGAAATCAATTTAGTGGATAGGGACAGAGACATTTTAAAAACACAAAATAGTAAGAGCAGTGGCTGCTTCTGGTGTCCCATTCCTTCCCTCTTCATTCTCCCCACACCCCCTTAACACTTCTGTGCACACCAGTCCACCCCCAACTGCCGGCACCTGCATTTCTTTGAGGGCTTCTCTTTTGCTGCTGAAACCTGCTTTGATCAAGCTCTTATAGCAGGTCAGAAGTACCAGGAAATTAGTGACCCAACCACCTGCCCAGCAGCCCTCAACTGATGCCTGAGGGAGTCTGTATGTTAGTACACTGAATACACTGGTACCTCACCTCTCAGGCAGTACAACCACACTGGATAACAAACATTTCATTGGCTGCGTTGTTTTCCCGTCTCAGTTTCCCACTCTGCTGGTGTTTCCTGGAATCACCTGCAAAGTAAACTACTTTCATTTGAATTCTTGTCTCTTGTGTACTTCTTGGAAGACACAAGATAAGATAGTAAAGGAATGGAATGGAATAGAATAGAATATATTAGAATGTCTCCCATGTAGTATTGGCTTCATGAAACTTTTTTCCATTAAATACACACATAAATATTTATACTGAATCACAAAATAAAATGTATTTCTTCCTTGGGGTCATGAATAAAAAATTTTGAAAGCAGGAGAAGGGGGTCAGGTGCCCTGAGGAAGAGATGCATCCTTAACAGGAAGAAATGATGTGGGATGCAGCGACAGCAGAAAGGATTCAAGGGAACCTTCCCTGACGTGAGAGCGCAGGAGATACGGATGGATAGGTGGCTATGGGAGATGCTACGGGCATAAACAACAGAGGTGGGCCAACCTCGTGGCACACTCGGGAGAGTGCGGTGCTGGGAGCACGGCGGCCGGATCCTATATAGGAAAGGCCAGTGCACTCACTGGCTGAACGCGGTGCGGCGTCACCAAGTCAAGGGTTGCGATCCCCTTACTGGTCACAAAAAAGACAAAAAAAAAAAAAAAAAAAACCAGAGGTGCCATGCCCCCTGCTTTTGTTCCAGCTGGTACGCCAGGGCCTGCCACTATGATGCCGGATGGAAACTTGGGATTGACTCCACTGACAACTGAATACTTTGGCCAAGCTGCCACAATGGAAATAGTTGGGGCAATTGGTGGAACCCCTCCTGTATTCAACCATGAAACTACTGGAGCTGAATTTGCTCCAAACAAAGGTTGCAGATACTAATAAAGTTAAAGTGTCTGGTTTCCCAAAACCCTTAAAAAAAAAGGACCCTTTTTGGACTAGCCAGAATTCTACCCTGGAAAAGTGTTATGGATTCCTCCCAATAGTTACGTCTTCC